TAATCACTAAGCTGTACACCTAAAACTAATCCTATATAATAAAAGCCTAATATGCTAAGTGTCCAGTCGTCCAGTCATCCAGCCAACCAATCAAAGTATAATATGCTAATGATATGCTAAGGCCGCTCAACTGCTCACTATGACATGCACTGACCACCAGGGGGCAGATGCTCTGACAGGTAGGTTAGCTTGCTGCCGGGGTTAGGCCAATCAGGACTGAGTGAGTACACACCCTTCAGCCTTCCCACAGCCCCTCCCCAACTGGCCAATCTCCTGCATCCCTCCCTGGCCCTGATCGTGCGCCAGTGGGGTCCCTCAGCCTGGCCTGTGTCCTCTCGCAATCCGGGACCCCTCAGGGGGATGTTGGAGAGCCAGTTTTGGCTCGATCCTGCAGGCCAGGCCAAGGGACCCCACTGGTGCATGAATTCGTGCACCAGACCTCTAGTATAAAATAATATTGAATGTCAACTGTAATTGAAAAATTTTAAATGAGGTAAATAAAAATAAGTTGGCCCGACTCCCAGGCTCAATGGCTCCTCTTAGTTGCCCTGGAGCGGGCATGAATGTCTGACCATAGGCCAAGACTGGTCCCCTACATAATCTGACCTTCCAAGTGATGCAGTCAATCTATGGCAGAGGCAGAAGCCAAGAACCTGTGTGTAGAGAGGCCAAAATGTAGAATCAGGGCCACGTACAAATCAGGGTTGTGGATCACCAGAATTCCAGGAAGCTGAAGAAGCCCAAGGAGGGAGGGAGGAGCAGAGGAGACATTAGGGAGCAGCTGCCAGTGAGGCCCTTGTTGCAGCTGCAGCTGGAGGCCTGAGTGTGTCACATGAGAGCTGGGATTCGCTGAGAGTTATCCATTGATAGGAAAAGCAAGGTATTTTCCAGGGAAGAGACAGCTTTCCTTGCTATCCAGGTCCCAGTAAGGCCTGGAGTTTTTTTAAGGAGCCTCCCTAGGAGCTCCAGGGCCAGGTTGCATAAGGTGGTACAAAGGGGTGGAGAGAAGGAGACAGATCTGATCATGAGGAGGCTTCTGTGGCCCTGATCTGGTGTTCTGTGCTGTGCCCTGGAGGTGCCACCACTACTGGCACTGGAACCAAGAGGCAGCTATTGTTCAGGTGCCAGAACCTGCTAGTGTCTCCTCTTGGAAGAGCTGAACAGAGAGTCAGCAAGCAAGGGCACCTGGAGTATGGTCTGCAGACTTCCGTCTGCAGTACAGGACAGACAGAAGTGTGCGTGGGGCTGAGAGCCAACAGAAAAATCACCCAGGAACAACTCAAGAGAGTCCACTATGGCCTATACCCCACTCATCATCGGAACCAGGACTGAGAAGAAAGTGTGGTGGCTGGTCTTTGCAGCATTTTTCACTTCCCGTGTCACTGTGAGAGTAGCCAACCAGAGTTGACAGCCAGTGGTTGGCCAGGTTATCCCATTCAGGCACCTGGGTATCCTCTGAGCCTATTGGTGTTTCTTGCAGGACAGGCCTGGAGGGCACAGGCCTGTCATGGAGGTCCTCTATGACAATGGTGTAAAGAGGTAAAAATGAGGGGCAGGCAAGGAACAGAAGGGAGGGTCCCAGGCTCGACCTCAGCCCTCCTTCCACAGACATCCACCCACCCATCTGACCCCACCCCCACCCCTGCTCTGTCTGGCAGGTTCATGATGCTGACTCAGCACACTTGACCCCCCACAAACAGACTCCCTATACAGCCCCGACAGCAGGTGACCATCCAGCTCTCTCTAGCCCAGGTGGGCTCTCACTTTGAGCAGGGAAGCCCAAACCCACCCTTCCTAGGAATCAGGCTTGGGGACCCCAGAAGGGCTACAGCATGAAGGTATGGCTTCTCTGCTGTGGGAAGGAGTCTCCCCTGAACACCGCCATGGGCTCTGTGTTCCAGCTCAAAGGGAAAACCTCTCAGGTGTGCAGGCTGCAGGAATCAGGATGCCCCAAGCCCATGCCCCAGCTCTGGGAGGCGAGACAAGGAATTGACTCAAGGCCTGCAGTTGCTGGCCCAGAGAGAAGGAGCAGATAAGCCAGCATGGGGCAAGCCCCATGTCCAATCTGGGGAGTACCATAATCGCTGCTGCCCCATCCTCCTGCAAGAACCCTGCTGCTTAACTTCCTGGGTGGGAGGCTGTGGACATGCTGGGCTGAAGCCACCACTGCCATGTGATTCTCCTCTCTGAGCCTTAGTTCCCCTTGTGTGAGCTCCTGAGGGTACCTGGGGTGGCTTCTCTGTGTCCCAGTCCGGAAGATCACAGGGGGATTGGAGCTCCTCTGATTCTACTCAAGTGCATCAGGGTTCAGCCAGGAGATGCTGGAAGAGGGAAAGGCAGGAGAGACCCCAAAAGCCTGGAATGAAGAAGGCCCAGGAATAACCACTTTGCCCCACCCCCAGCAGAGGTAGCAATCCCAAAGGAGCCACTTCTCCAGGAAAAGGAGCTCAGGTGGCAGCTGGCAATCATAAAGTCATTGCAAAAATGCTCCTGATAGCCAAGCATAAGTGCCCATGCCACTGTTATGCCCAGAGTTCGGGGTCCCCAATAATCCACCACCAGGGAGCCTTTTCCAATGCAAAAGCAAAGGGTCTTTTATTCAAGCCCAGGACTTGCCCCCCCCCC